ACATAAGTATGAGGTTGCTGACTCTGATGAGAGGCAAAGCTACTTTCAGCATATGTGAAAACATTTAACCAGCTGTCATGAGCCATTTGATGAATTTCTGCCTCCCATTCCAGAGGGATGTCTATACAGAGAAGACTCTTGGTCTCAAAGTATTAATTACATCCAATCATACATTGAACAGGGCAATACCTGGGACGTGTGAGAGAACACTCAACCAGAAAAAAAAGATCAATCTGTCCTATTTTAACAACTAGAAAAACTGATTAATGCTAATGAAAGTTGATTTAAATATACTCTAAAATTGTCTCTGGGTGATTAATGTGTATCAACATGATTAAAAAGAACATAAGACGGGCGCCTGGGTGGCTCAGTCGGGTAAGCATCTGACTCTTGATTTCAGCTCAGGTCATGATCTCACGGTTTGTGAGGTGAAGCCCCATGTCAAGTTCTGTACAGACAGTATGGAGCCTGCTTGGGATTCTCTCTCTCCCCCTCTCTCTCTGCCCATCCCACTCTCACTCTCTCTCCCTCTCTCTCGAAATAAACTTAAAAAAAAAAAAAAAACTGGAACACTTCCAGCAGCAAAACAATGTAAATTAAATATTTGTATTTACTGGGTAGACTACTCAATATTTGTTGTCACAGATCCGAGGCAATGCACCTACACCATGCAATTGGAACATTCCATTACAGCTCCATGAGCCCTTTGGGGTAGAAATATGAAGAGTATGATATAGGGTTGAACCACTTAGAGTCTCCTTAGATCTGATTGGCTTTGGGGTCATGCTCAAATTACTCCGACAGTATCCAAAGATTGAAAATCATATGGTATATAGGATTTTGGTTAATAGTATTACATTAGCATGTCTGGTCCCTGTGGGAAACAGCTAATTGTTCAGAGAGAAGGGAGCCCTCTGACGACAGCATAGCCAACCTCATGATAGGCCCTCAACAGGATTCCTAAGAGAATTAAACCCCAAGGGATCTATTATGTGTAGTACATTAACTTGTTTTCTATACATCTAAAATGGTACCAGACGTGTTCCCTGGGAGAATTAAGAAATACTCACACTGTTTTCTATATACAGGGCTTCATTCTTTTGCAAAACTCAGTTGAAAAAAATTAACGTCAACATATGGCCATTCTAATGAGTCGGACTGCAAAACTTGTCCCTGTCCAAAGAACTAAAGGTATGTTGGGCAGAAAATAATCACAGAAACAATGAAACTTGCTCTAACAGGCTTAGGAAAAAAGTTGAAGGAAGTGTTTTAAAATCACATTGTATAATTTGTAAGTCCATACTGGAAGAAAAATTGGCATTAGGTATAAACATTATCAGTTTAAAATGGTCCCTTCATTTCCACGTCGTTATTTACATATTACCAACCAGGTAAAAAAGGGTAATTTCTAAGGAAACTTAAATGTCCAAGTGTGACCTGCAGAATTGTTTTGTGCAGCCAGAAATGAATTGTTCAACCAGTGGAATGACATATGTCTCTACTTCCCTTCAAATTCTTCACTACTGCCCCTGTGTATACCACCAGCCCACAGGAGGTTTAGTGAGTAGGCTCATCTTGGGAACCTTAGATTAATGTTAGTTGTAGGTTCTATGAAAATATTTAGCTTTGTTCCAAAGTACTAGGCATGGCATACTAAACCTCTTCTCTGCCAGTAGGAAGATACTGAACAATTCTAATAATGGGTCAAGGAATTATATGAATGAAATTAACCACACCAACCAACATTGTACTATTGACCAAAATAATTAGTCACGCTACATTGTTGGCTAGAGGAAAGTGATGTGCCTTTAGTCTCACATATCGTACATCTTGAGGACCAAGATATCATCCTAGGAACCAACAGGCTGAGGTTAATTAAGCCCAATTTCATTTTATAGATCTTTGTCTACAATAAACTGAAAAGGAAACATTTTATAATAGTGTTGATTATGAGAAACTTGAAAGCCCAGGATTTATGGGGACTAAGCCCCCCAGATGTACTAAAATTATTTTTGCTAGTAGAAGCAGCATACCCTGAACACATAGGAGTTGTTTAATGTACAAATTCCTTGCTTACCAATAATATGTAATAGCTTTTTAAATTTCATCATTAGAATTAGAAATAGCCTATTTATAGGCATAACAGTTTACTGAAGTCAGAGTTTTAGTGTGTGTGTATACAGCATTTCTGATCATTAGTTCATTCATAAAACTGGCAATTTCCATACACTGCATTATAAATGTAAGTGATAGCCTGAGTGGCTTTCTAACTTTTATATCTCATGTTTGCAATAGACCTACAATCTCACACGTTTGATAGCTTTAGGTTTCTGAATTGTTTTGGTATTTCACTTAATTGAAAACCAAACTCTACAGAATTTGCACCCCAAAGCTTGACCAAACCCCCGTGTTTTTAGATTTCTTTTATCATTGCAGAAAATGAAAGGAAGTTGGACAATTGACAGTTAATATTTCAAGCAAAGAAGAATGAAAAATGTAAGTTAATATATGATTGTGAATAGAACATTTAAAAAGGAAAGAAAATCAAAATAAGCAGAAAGGATAACTCATGGGTGACATTTTCCATAGGCATCCTGAGATATAACAAGTTGTTTTCAAACTACTGATTTGATAATAAATCAAATTACTCTTATCCTTCCATACATAAATTAAATATGCTCACACAACACTTCCCTTTAAGAGTATCAAGTGAAATCTATTCAGATACTTAATAGATCATTTCTTCAGATAGTACTAATACGGCAGGTGCAAATTGTTTTTCTGACCTAGGAAGAGCTGCCGATATATGAATACAATGAGAATAAAAGATGCGGCGACTTCTTAGTTTTCTAAAAGTTTATAAAACCATTGCTTCAATCATACTTCCTATCTGAAAATCACTACAAGTAGCTATCACAATAATAAAAAAAGTTAACCTGTATTCTTATCATATCTCCAAAAAAATTTTTATCGGGTAATGATACGTATTGTGGACCATGTTTTACCAGCGTATGGTCTCTTTAAATTTATAAAACTTCTTCCACAGTTATAAATTTAGACACCAGCATCATTTTACAAAAGACTTGAACTACTTCATCATGCTTGCTTGGGGACAGGTACTCTAAATATACGTATCAAACTGTGAACCAAACTAGGTGTTGGTTTTTTTACTTGTATTTATCGATAAAAGTAAAAAGAAGTATTTTATTTTGAAAATTACTAACGTATTACTGCTAAGCCATTTATTGTTATTTTTCACATTTATAAAACCAAGTGGTTTTGAGCTGAAATATTTCCCTCTCACCCAGTACACACTCAAGTGCACACACAACTCCCCTCATGGCGCATACACATTCCCGTGTAGCTTTATTCAAGTTATATCTTCAACTCCCTATCCTCACCCCGCACATAACCATTAATTTATTGAAGTAATGACAGGTGGAGCTAATAGGCATAACTCCAAACAGCACCAAGGGCGGTCACCCTTGCCCTTCAAAGTACGATCTGTGGTCTAGCAGTATCACGTATCACCTGAGACACTGTTAGAAATGCCAAGCCACAAAGTTCTTTCTCACCACAGGGAGTTCAGGCTCCTTGTTTCCTCTTCCTATCAGGCTCTTAATTCTCCTCTTAGGCTGGCTAGTGCCTCCTTCTTCTTTAAGACCCATCAAAATGCCATCGCCTTAGAGAAGCCTTCTCTGCCTCACTCACCCTATCTAAATTTGCTGTTTTCTGTGTCAGAAACTTGCTTTCCTCATAGAGCACATCACAATGCACAGTTAATGGTATTTATTTGTCAGGTGACTTATTTGCCATCTGTTTCTCCTACTGGACATTAAGTTCCATGAAGGGCCCACTTGGGTCTTGACCACCAACTTCCTTTGTGCCTAACAGTGTCCTCTGTATAGTAGGCTTTAATGAATACTTCCTGAATAAATGACTAAACAGGAGATATAACAAAAATAAGTGAGCATAAGTTGCCTATAATATTTGATACTTTTCAACATTAGAAGTTCTCTAAATATCAAAGTTTTTTCCCAGGGAACTTAGAATCTTGTCATTTAACAAGTAGGTTATATTAGTAGAATAACTTTAATCTAAAAAGCAATGAGAACAAAACACAAAATAAAAAGTGTTTAATTCCCTTTTGAATGTGTGTTGAATTCAATACAACTTGATAAAGCATTTTTCTAAGGCAAAGGAACCATTGTTACACTTAGAAGGTAATTGACTGCAAAAAATATATATAGTCTATGCTCTATGTTATTCTTAAAAAGAAATTCAAGATTTTATTCTATGTTTACTATGTTGCAAAAATGATGTCTTCTTTACAGCTCTGGACATCATGACAATGGCACGGTAAAGGAATTTTTGTTGTTGTTTTTTCCTTTGCATTATCTTCATATACCAGTAAAAAATAAACTCTTCAATAAATAAATATATATAATAAATATTTGCAAAGTGAAAATGTATAAATAGGTCCATCCTTAAAAAAAAATGTTCCATCTTGGCATGCATGTTCCATAGTCCATGTTTCATCCGGGTTTTTTACATGTAACTCCATAACCTGCAAAATCTTACAAGGTCCTCAGAATTTATGTAGCAATAATTTTGGCCAACTGCGTTGATTTATTTCTTCAACATGAAGTGTCTATTTTATAATGTAACTTTTAAAGTAAACATAATCCAGAGAGGTGAGGTACCAGCAGCAAACTAGGTGGGGTTCCCATTATCCACAGTTTAACAGATTTTCAGCTTCAATTTTCCAGTAAGGACTGACCCAGTGTACCTAAGGGAACTTAATCCACGTATAAAGAGAGGTCTTGATCTGCTTCAAGTCAACATGTGGGGGTTATTTTTTGTCCGTTCTCAATATCGTTTCCAAAGTCAGTCTCTCGCCAGAAAACATTCTGAGGGTCTTCCTGGGTTATTTCACGGTGAGAACTGTAACAAGAAAGAATGGTCGTAGTTTGGTTCTTCGGTAAAGACACTATCACGCTTCAACTGTACATCAGTATGTCCTTGTACAATTCAGGCACTCTTTCCGGATCCACTGGTCTGGGCAGGAAGTGTGTAAATTTCTGATGTCTTTTGGATCTGGCACCGTCTCTCGCGGTTCCGTCTTTGTTAAGCGCTACAAAGTACCTGCGGCCAGTGTCTCCGTGTTTATATATGTTGGATGAGTAGGTATTATACCAGTTCTCTTCAAATTGCTCCCTAAAGATGCATTCAGAAGTCAATTTCTCCTATAAGAGAGAAAGTAACTACCATTAAAAAAAACACCTTTGAGAGAATTTCCTTAGCAAAGTCTCATCGCTCTATTTTCACTGCTTTGCCTCTAACAACATCCTTGTCGAAGAAGAAAAACGGAGGAGCTGGTTTTGCTTTATTCTGTTTTAATTCTTATGTTGTCTGGAATTCTTTCTCCCAGTCTGCTAAGCCTCCCAGAAGCCTAGTTCAAAGAACTTCCAGTTAAATATCAATTCTCAATTTTATTTCCAGACACTCAATAAATATCCAGAACTTTCCCATGCTCCATTATATCTCCCTCCTACCACCATCCCCACCAAACAGGCCTGTAGCTTATCTTGCTCTGTTGTTAGATGCCAAAGTTCTACATAGCAAGTTTCCACTATCATTCTGAAATCTTTCAAGATCTTGTTAACATCCAAAGTCCTAATTCAAAAGCATCATTCCAAATCATGGATCTTCCCTTTATGTATTTACTAATTGTTTGACGATACATTCTCCATCATTAACTTTGATCTAGATGTTACTATTAGGTAAATGTAGTAAATGTCCAGTGATTTCTTGCCTTTTCAAAACAGACTATATGTTATCCTAAGGGAGAGACCACAGTCGCTTTTTGAATCGTGGCTCTTGTAATTATCAAGACTGCAGACATGGTCAAGTATGGCTGCCATTTTCTGTTGTTGCTTACATTATCCTAAGACTTCATTCACTCATTTCCTATATGTGAAGGTCAGCAAGATATATATTTAGCTATGGAAGATGATCATTGGTGGAGAAAATTTACATTAAATGAAATATAAAGGTGAAAAGAATTTAACATGGCCAGAAGAAAATGACATTTTTCTCTGTCTCTAGCAGGAATAATCAAAATACAGAGGGAAGTAGAAAGACCCAGGATAATGGGCAGAAAGAACTAGCAAACTGAAAGCAATAATTGTTTGGGGTTTAAAAACTGAAATTGAGTAGATACTACTGTCCTGACACATGGAAATTAATCAGGATGCAGATGTTTAATTTCTTTTTTTTTTTTTTTTTTTTTTTTTTTTTTTAACGTTTATTTATTTTTGGGACAGAGAGAGACAGAGCATGAACGGGGGAGGGGCAGAGAGAGAGGGAGACACAGAATCGGAAACAGGCTCCAGGCTCTGAGCCATCAGCCCAGAGCCCGACGCGGGGCTCGAACTCACGGACCACGAGATCGTGACCTGGCTGAAGTCGGACGCTCAACCGACTGCGCCACCCAGGCGCCCCAGATGTTTAATTTCTACAAGCGTATATTTTATATATTTCTTCTGACATGCATTGTTGGTAGGTATTTTACTCAACAAAAATGAATAGCCTTAACTTTAAGAATTATAATAATGTTTTTAAAATACGTACTGAGCCATAGAGTTCTCCTTTGTCATTCATTCCAAGGTAAAGACCACTGTCCACACCTCTAATACTGACCAGTCCCACCGCCACACTGATGAATTCCAGGATACCTGAATTTATAAACAAAATAATGACTTGTATTTATTAATGAACATATGACTACTGAAAAGAGTAGATTGGTATTGCTAAATACAGTAATGTAGGTGAAAGTCCTTTATAGGCTGAAAAGTGCTATATAACTGTCTTATTATGATGATCCTCCCATTTTACAGATGGAAAAAAAGCTAAAAAGGAAAAATTGTCCATCAGGGTATAATGTTAAAGGTATAAAACCTTAAACCAGATTGACCTTCAGAGCTTACTGTAAAATTTACAGTAACAAAACTTTACAGTAACTTACTGGCTAGTCTGAATACGCAAGTCGTAAATCTTCTTTGATGTTTCAGTTTCCTCATATACAAAATGGATGAAATGCATTTTTCCAGGAGAGTCGTATGGACTAACACATTTAGGCATTTAACAAGTGGAAACTATTATTATCATAAATTAGTACATAATAGAGGTATTCTTAGTCCTTTCTGACTCCATTAGTCAATTATAACCATGTTGTATTAATTGTTTTGTTTTGGTTTTGCTAACCATGACTCAAGTCAATCTTTTTCTAATGGCAGCAACCAGTATACCTTATGTGGGTATGTTAGTGTTTTATAGTTTATAAAGGACTTCTACTTATATTTTCTCCCTGGTCTTCAAAAAAAAAAAAAAATCACTAAGCTAGGTATGTAAGATAATATTATCCCCATTTTTACATATAAAGAAACTGAGGCACAAAAAAGGTTTATTGGCTTGCCCTAGAATATGACATTTGAAATTAGTAGAAGTAAACACATGAACTCACATTGTTCTGAGCCCTAATCCAATGTTTCTACTCCAGGATGATACAGTGATTTCAAAACTTTATAGATTACGTACTGTGCTGTCTCCTGTTACATGGTTCTTAAAAATAAAATTGATAGTTCAAAGAAGTAAAGGGACTTTATAATTCATTAAACGTGATAGTCAAATATCAAGATTTTAGCATGCAAGTAGATTTTTTGCTATTTTTGCTAACTTTCTAAAATTATTTTTCTTTATCAATAGATAAACTAGGATCAAAAACTCTCCACTTAATACACTGATATGCCATAGTAAAAAAAATTAATGCTTCCCTGTGCATTGCTCCTTTTCTCTGTATACACTAACCCTTGGACTAATTCCTTTGTCTTGTTCTTTTGACTCTTTGCTGAAAGGATATACAGACATACTTTCTGTGCTTGGAACTGCCTTCCGAGATAGCTTTCTACCCCCGCTCCTTTACCCCCTCTTCGGCTCTACAAACAGCATAAATGTGCACTAGTTAGCCCGATTCTTGCTCTTATGTCATATCTTGATTTATTGAACAAGTTCCTGTTTGGACACTTGATGTTCCCAAGGCCAAGGGAAAGTACAAAAGCTGGCTATTTGGTTATACAGAGGGTTCCATGCTGTTCACAGCCTAATTCATTCTTTGGCAGAAACATAGATTCTTAAGCTCTAAACACAGATTCCTAAGAGCTCAAATGAGCTCTCTCAAACTAGTAGTAGATCACGGAGAACACTAGAGCTATCAAGGATCTTACAGCAACAATACACTACTAAATACACTACTAAGTGACTGAGCCACCCAGGCGCCCCATTGAGTGATTTCTATGAGAAAAAAAATACAAACCCAAAACATGAACAGTAGAAGAAGATATATTAACAGCATTTCATCCAGGATAAACGTACAAATGTATAATTACTTGAAATTGTATTGAATTTTAAATTCAAGTGGAAAAGCGTACTATGCCTCACATGTAACTCAATTCTCTTTAAGTATCTCATTTACATTAAGATGCTCTTGTCTTTCAGAGAACAGGAACTGATTAAACGATTAGGATGTATAATAGAACCAGTTTTCAAGTACAATAAAATATAAGTTTCATTTCCATATAAACCAATTATATAACAGGTCTTATAAAGTATCCATTTTTGTCTTGCAAAACCAAATGCTAAACCACCTCGACTCCATTTCTCATTTTAAGATAATGCTATCTTGTCCAAAACAATGTAGTTGTAGAAAGACAAGAAATCACATAACTCCTTAGAACAATGGCATTCAGTGGTTTCAACTTGATTAAACAACATCTAAAACTTCATCCATAACCAGGCATTAATAATTTTGCAATGGTTCACAGAGATTTATGGGAACAAGGTTATGTGGTTGTTGTGCTCCTCTTATAGATTTTAGCCACACTTTTAAATTCTGATCCTTTTTCTCCTTGAGGAAATAGTATACCACACAGTAATTTGTAATCACTTGATTCTTAAATGAGATGTGACAAGTCTTTCTTATTTATAATATGAGGTGGCAACTAAGCTAATTCCTTAACAAAGAGTAGACATGAAAAACCTTCCTTAAGAGGTAATCACAGATTTTAGATAGATTTTCTAATGCCCAGTGTCCCATAAAAAGACTTGGAGGTACTTTGTCTTTCTGGTATCATTTTCAAAGCCAGCCTTTTTAAAAATCATAATAAACAGGTGAGTCAACCCACAATGCAACCACATCAGACAGATCTATGGAGAATAGGGGAGAATAAAGGAAAAGCCTTTAAAGGAATATGTTTGATCTCAGGTTAAACTTTTTTTTTAAGCAATGATTTCATGTTTACATATTAGGTAAAATCTTCCTACTGTACTACTGTGCAGAAAAACTGTATTATAAATATAGAGAGAACTCAGATAGGAAATTATATTAACCTCACTGAGACCTTTTTGCTTAGCTTCTATTGATGTGGTTTTGAAATTTTAAATACAGGATTCTGAGTTTTTCATTTAATCATTCACGGGCTAATTAGTATAAACTATCAAACATGTTATTTAGCATCACCAATAGCCATTCTCAAGCTGCTTCAAAATTCTCACTTTGATGACACATTAATGAGTTTAAAAGAAAAACAGCAAAATAATTTCCTAATTAATCATTGAAGCACTAGTAAAAGAAGGCAAATACAGAGAGAAGCATATGATGTTATACAGGCTAAACATAAACTTTCTTCTCACCTACACTCCCCCTTGCAGTAAATTATGATGTGTTAGTGATTCAAGGCCACTAGGATGCACTGTAATGAATGGTAGAGGCTGTTCACACCTCCTTTAGGCTATGAAAACTAATCTGCGTTCTTTTCCCTTTGTGTAACAGTAAATATTTTGTTCCGATACGTAGCCTCCCACCATAGAGTGACTTGAACTATTACAAAATCGGTCCAAGTCCTATTTTTGCAATTACTAAATGCTTATGCAAAAATTTAGCAAAAGAAAAATGTTCTAGCAAGATAGGAATTCTGGCATACACTATTCTTTTCTTAAGGAAGAGATTTAAACGCCAGTTTGATGAATGTCATCAAGCCTAGAAATATTTATAATCTCTTCCCATAGAATTGTATATCTTCCTGTAGTCTTATTAAGAGTCACAAAATGAAAAAAGCAAGTGGTGTCTTTGGAGGCCACAGTTGAATCTCAAGTGTCTTAGTGGGAGAGAGCCAAAGCATAAGAGACTCTTAAAAACTGAGAACAAACTGAGGGTTGATGGGGGGTGGGAGGGAGGGGAGGGTGGGTGATGGGTATTGAGGAGGGCACCTTTTGGGATGAGCACTGGGTGTTGTAATGGAAACCAATTTGACAATAAATTTCAAAAAAAAAAAAAAAAGAATCTCAAGTGTCTTAAAAGCTGAATTTCCAAGGCTGTACTGTGTATCACAAGGGGATACTGTGTATCACAAGGGGTAGGGGTTATGTCTAAACCTAACTTCTAGCTCCTCTACTCTTAGTCCTTACCACCCTTGTGTCCCTTTCTAAATCTTTCTAGTAGCCAGAAAATCTTTCTGTAATAAAAGGAGTGCCATAATTCTTGAAGAAAACTGAGCCACCTGATGTCAGCAGAGTTCTTTAGAATCAGAATCTCAGCCTCCTCCATTTAGAAACCACTTTCTCAAAGTGACCCCAAGGTTGGCCAGTAGGTCATGACACTCTTGACTCATAGTCAATGGGAATTTGGAAGAGATCAGTGGAAGCTGCAAACATATGGGTTTTAAAAAGTTAATTTTCTAAGCCCTTAAGTGCTACCAAATGACCACCACATGCTCATTTCTACATCTAGAGTTACAAATGCCCCTGAAACTGAGATTTACACTTCTCCAAAGTTTTAATGAGTACTGCAAGTCAAAAAAGGGATGAGAGTATAAGAACAAGGGGAAGAGGACAAGAGAGGGCCATTCAGAAATGAGATTCTCAAAGAGCCCTCAGTGCGCTAAGGAAGAGAAAGGAAGACAGATGTTGGGCCCTTTCACATTGCTGCTGACAAGTAAACCCTATCTGTTAAAACTACAATAAATCTCTCCAGTGATGTCCCAAGTTTGATGACCAAGAATCCTTTGAGAATGCTACCGGGTTAACTCTAATATAATGAAAACCCCCGCAAGGGGGGGAAGATCCTGAGATGTTAGAACCTGGAAGCACCTTAAAAGTCATCACCTAATTTAAGCCCATCATTGTACAGAAAAAAAGAAAATTAAGGCTCAGGCTGTTGAAGGCACTTGCTAGCTCTACAGCTAGTTAGGGGGTAATTAACAATAGAGACCATAGGATTTCCCAATCTGGTGTCATAGGGATCCTTCTCCTGTTTATTTTAACCCTTTCTGTTCCCAGGCACTGCCGGAGGTATTCTGAAACACGTCCCTGTGTGTTCCCACCCATATCCTTCGCTTCCCCATTTCCTCTTCCATATAGTCAATACGAAGATCTTTGCTTTCGGGTTTCACAATTTCTAGAGGAGCTTGACTGAGCAACTGGGCATGCTCAGTAGCCGGAAAGGCCCCCCCCCACCCCGCCCCCC